TTTTAGGTATAAGAATTGAATATACTGTTAAACATTGTTATAAATTTTTAGATTCGTAACGTAACAAAAATGTAACGTAAATATAATATAGAATGTGTTACAAGCTGAAATATATTTCAATCATTACAGCCTATCAAAAGTCCACTGCTGAACATAGGCATCCCCTGTGGATTGCCGTATAGGGTGATATTTTCCATAGTTGCCACGCTACCGCTAGACGTCTACCGCAGTTTTTTATTATTTTGAGGTTTTATCAGGAAAATGCTACTGTCCATCTCCTGTTAAATTTTTTCACTGTCACTTCTTACGTCATTCACGAGATGACATCATAAGTAAGATAGTGAATTCTCTTACGCCGCCACGATACGGTAACTGTGATTCAATATTTTTTTTATAGGATAGGGTTGCTGTGGCCCATAGACATCTACATCTATCCTCGATTGCGAATCAAAATGCAGATGCGTTGTCACCTGTGAGGACTAAGATGGAATGCCTCTTTTCCAGTAAAAAGAGTCTCCGGTTCTCTAAACTCACCATACGAAACACAGCAGTGTTAAGCTGCTATTTGACGTTGGTATTCTATGAGAGCGTGGTCCTTCCCAGGTCGAGCCGACCCATTCGTGCTACAATTATAGCTGCAGCATGGCTCTACCACGTACAATATTGACACTAAACTATCATATATTGTGAATACGAGTCATTTTGGTCCTTAAATAAAGAGATTTTAAAATCTTTATTTATCGGATTCTAGCATAGCTACCATATAGCAAATATTCTGTTGACAAAAATATTATGTGAATATTGATTATAATCTCAATCGGTCAAGTAATTCAGAAGTTACACGATTAGTAACAGACGCAACATCGATTATATACGGTAAAATAATTTTCTTGTAAATATCCAAACTTTCGAGTTTGGCAAAATTTCGAGCATTAGAATCAGAAAATAACCTGGTGTAGGTCTCGTGTGTCTGCGACCAAAATAAACTTACGTTTTTGATAACGCCAGTATTTCTTCATTAGATCAATTGATAGTAGGCCAAAATTATTATTTTTTTACATGTTTCAGACACATTTCAAAGACTTGTGGCTTTCGAGAAACTCTTAAAGGAAATTGACGGGTCGTATAATTTTTGGCTTCATTACTTACAGCAATTTACACGTTTTCATTATGGCGTAATAGTTAAAAGAATGGGCCTCGACACGTCAGTTTCCTGTAAGAAAACCACAAATCCTTGAAATGTGTCTGAACCTAAAAATATTGTACCATTCTGTTAACCCTTGTCGCTGTTTATGTAATAATAAATTTCATTTCATGCATTCATCAACTGTTGTCAATTTGAAACTATCGCGTAACAAATTGGACAATCTTTTCAGTATTGTGTAAATAAAGGTATTTATATTATTTTTATTTTTATGTAGGGTTGATTATACAGTTGTCATAGCTATGTATATGAACTTATAATTAGTTTCAGTATAATTTACAACTATTGTTATGAAATTAATTTAGTTATTTAGAACGGAGTTTCTCTGTGTGATAAAATTAGAAATGAGGATATCCGCAGTAGAACCGGATAAAACCGACGTGCCTCAACATATTTTCAACAGTGGTAGAGCCACGCGGCAGCTTTTGCTGTCGCACGGATGGGCCGGCTCGCACCGGGATGGTACCACGACCTCACAGAATACCAGCGTGAAGTAGAGTTTTACCTCTGCGTTTCGCTTGGTGAGTGCAGGTGGCCGGAGGCCCTTTTTACTGGAAATGAGGCATTCCATCTTAGTCCTCACGGGTGGCAACGCATCTGCGTTTTGATTCGCAAACGAGGATAGATGTAGATGTCTATGGGCCGCAGCAACCACCTACCATCAGGTGGACTGTGCGCTCGTTTGTCGCCCTTATCTTAAAAAAAAAAATATCAGTAAGCTGAAGTTGCAATGAGCTAACCATATAACTCTAAGAAACAACAATCGATGGGGAATAAACATTCTCAAGTGGTAGCCTCGTATCGATAAGCTAAATGTACAATGGCCGCTAACTAGACAGAGTGACGATCTGGTATGAGATGCAGGAAGTCGATTAATGCAGTTGGTTCAGGGCTTATGAAAGTTAATTAATGGAAAAAATGCCTACTCAATATTAAGATATCCTTAAATCTCGTGATGTTATAGTCACTTTGACTTAAAATGATAGAGAGAGCACGACACACACACATGTATTTATACATTTACGTCATTCTTCAGGTCAGTGATTTGAAAACTTTCCTGCTGTAAGAGTCCAAAGTGATACTTTTAGTAACTTGAGATAAAAAGTTTTAACGACGTATTCCCGGTAGTTAAAAATATATGTTTTAAAACTGGCGATATTATTCCGGAATATTTGGATATGATTCTTTTGTATTTTGAAAAAGTATTTTGGCTATGATTAACAATTGCAATTAGCCGACTTACAGAAACATTGTGTTCTAATGTCGATGAAATATATATATTACACAATATTTAAAATGTAATAGGCCGTGTAGTGGCGGTTAAGAATATCCACTACCCCATATCTTCCCGTGGGTGTCATAAAAGGCGACAAAGGGAAACAGGCAGGAGATGGGCAGCAGCATCTTCCTAATAACAACAAACTTACAATAAAAAACTGCGGTTGCCAACCCGCTCGCCAAGCGTGGCAACTATGGCAAATACCCCCCTTTGGGTGAGGCCTATGTTCAGCAGTGGACTTATGAACGGCTGTAATGATGATGATGATGATGATGAAAATGTACTATGTTGATGATAACTTTGTAGCCGATTCTACTACGATAGCTACAATCAATCCCGGAACCTCTGATCACAAAACTCAGTTAGCAAGTAACAATAATCTAGACTAAAAATTAAATTCAATATACGAAACTTAGACTTATGAACTCTACAAATTCTGTTTAAAGTTCATCGATCACATGAAAGCAAAGGGTTATCTGCAAGCACAATTAAACTCTAGACAACAAGTACTTTGTCATCGAAAGTTGTCTTCAAGTAACGCATGTGTTACCCCAGATGTTTATTACTAGAAAGCCAATGATTGAGTTAGAAGGTGAAGACATTCTCAAGTTTATTAGTTTACTTACTTCTCTCTGTTCTAATTAAAAGTAAAACATACATTACAATTACCATAAAAGATATTTTTTATAAAACTGAAGTGACAAACGAAATTGCAGTCAACTTTCCATTTATTTTATCTTAGTCCTAAGGGGTGATATTGCACGTGTATTTTGATTCTTAATTAAGGATAAACGTAAATATCTATGGTCTACAGCATCCACTTACCATCAGGTGAACTATATGTCACCCTTATTTTTTAAATAAGTCTTAGGACAAATCAACTTCAAGCATAAAAGGCTACAAATGTGTTGTCACCTCTGAGAAATTAGATAGAATGCATCACATTTCAAGCACTGCTTTTAGCGAGCGGATTACCATGACAGTAAAGGAGCGCTACAACCTATAAAAGTAGGAATATTTCTTTTCACCATAAATCCAATTTATTTTTTCTTCTACGTCATCGTAATCAGTCCCATGAAAATTTTCTGCTTATCATGGTCCAATCCTATCGTTAAAAACTTTTACCATTATCATGACGCCGCCAATAGATAGGTAATTACACTACAAAATGTCTCGAATCGTTCACATCTCAAAATAAGTAATTGACAGTAAAATATTTTTTTATAAAATGCACGATGTAGATGGGTGCAGGTGGCTTAAGACCTAGCAATATGGTATTCTTTTTGGGAGACCAATTTTCAGCAGTAAACTTGAGATGGGCTGTAATGATAATAAAAAAATATTCTGTTACAATCTTTTCACAACGAAACAGAGCTTTGAAAGTCAAATTTTAATTTAAAACAAAAATATATTTTAAGTGTTTACAGATCATATTTAAGAAAAATAAATATAATGTTTTATATGTATTATTGAACGTTCATTAACTAAAGCATTCTATTTCGATAAATCAAAAATTAGTAAGAAAAATAATCGTAATTACAATAAGCGTAGACTTTTGTTTATTATGCTCACTAAATTTTAAGATAAGTTTATTGTTAACACAAATTCAAATTATTTTGTCATCGAAGTAGTAGTTAATTTTTTTCAGTTTTCTAAACTTTTGCAAATTATGACGTCAAAAAGTATACTGAAGAGTTCTCTACCTTATTCAAGCAAGAAAAATTAATATTAAACTCATAAACTTCAATAGTGACACTTAGAGTTTTACAACAATAACATAATATTGATCGTTGAAGATTACGTTAAACAAATATCGATTACGTTAACCAGAAATTAGGAGGTTATTCACTATGTGAAAACTATAGATCTATCAGTATTCTTTCTTATATCGCGAAAGTGTTTGAATCTCTAATTTATGATCGAATTTCTTATCATGTACAATCAGTTCTTTTCGAGCAAAAGCATGGTTTTGTCAAGGAAAAGTCCACAACATCAAATCTGTTGGAATATAAGGCATATCTTTGTTCAGCCTTCGCAGTAAGTGATCAAGTTGACACAATATATACCGATTTCCGCAAGGCTTTTAACAAAGCAAACCATGCACTGCTTTTTCAGAAACTTAAGTGGTACGGCATCCATGGCTATTTATTCCGATGAATGCAGTCTTACTTAGAAAACCGTAGCCAATTAGTTACTGTAAAGGGGTATAAATCTCCTACCGAAAAACTTACTTTCAGAAATCATTGTGATCACATTGTTTCTAAGTCATACAAAACATTAGGTTTAGTTTATTACCAGATCAACCAAATATTTCAAAAACCTATCCACATTATATATCTCTTCTATGCTTTTAATTGATAAGAAGTACTCTTAAGTATGGTTCTGTTGTATGGTCTCCATTTTGCGAAGTGCACTCCAATCGTCAAGAGCAGATCCAAAACAAAGCTCTTAAAATAGTTCGTTATAGGATGGAAACAGGTCGCAAACTACCGACTTATCAGAAGAAACTACTTAGATTTGGAGTTCCATCACTATGCAATAGACGTGCAATACAAAATATTCTTTGCTTACATAAATCATTACAATTCGAAATTGTTTCCCCAAATATTTTATCCCAAATCCATTTTAATATCAAGTCCAATCCCAGGCCTCGTCTTAATACGTTTATATTAAACGTTTATAAGAACAATACTTCATTTTACAATCGTTTAACACGAATGTGTCGCTCTTATAATGATATGACAGAGTCAGGCATTGACGTCTTTGACATTAATATAAATAAGCTTCACACGCAACTGCTCCACCACTTCAAGTCAACTACACATACATTTTTTATGCTTTTTAATTATATCTAAAAAAAAATTACTAAATTGGCATGAAATTTTTAACTTACTTTTTTTATGATGTTTGCGTATAATACATGTTGCAACTGTATGTACGCGTTTGTATTCCAGGTCAAAAATTTTGTATATATTACGTAAATGTGAATGTAAGCTGCTGTGTACATTCAATAAATAAATAAATAATTTACGTTAAAACAAACCAAACAATACACGTCCGTGGCAAGCGAAAATAACTTAGTTACCTCGCAAAAACTGTTTATAAATTTAAATTAAATTCAAACTTTTGGGGGACAGTCTTCCGTAGCATAGAAATGATCAATGTAAAGGTAATTTAATCAATAAAATTATAAATCAAGCAAATAAAGAGATCAAAATGTATTATCGCATTTTACAAACGAAAACACGAAGTTTACACTACACAACTTGAAAAGAAAAAAGACAATATGTTTTTTTTTTTATCAATGTATTTTATGACGTCATTTGAAAGTAAAAAAGGTGTCGATTAATTTTATGGATTCTTGATAAAATAAATGTCATCCCTTATTTTTAAGACTAATTAAACTAATTTGCATAATACGGTGTAATCTTGTAACGGTTTTAAAATCAGCAGCAACAATTTTATTTACATATCGAATTGCACCTAATCTTTTGCTACAAATTCAAACCTTTATAGACAATATTATGGTTATCTAAGTCATCCAATGTAACTAAGCTTTATATTTTTTTATATAATTAGGATGACAAACGAGCACACCAGTCCACCTGATGGCAAGTAGATTACCGCATCTATCGCCTATAAATATCTACATTTATTTTCGATTAAGAATTAAAATGCAGATGCGTTGTTACACCTTAGAACTACGATGGAATGTCTCGTTTTCAGAAAAAAGGTCTCTGGTTCTCTACACTTACCATACAAAACACACCAGCGTTAAGCTGCTATTTTACGCTTGTATTCTATAAGAGCATAGTCCACAGTCGAGCCATTCGTGCTACAACCATTATATAGCTGCAGTATGGCTCTACCACTTATGACTATATGTACTTAAATAGTAAAGTTAAAAAAAATTATTATAAATGGCTTTGAGAGTGTTATTGTAAGGTCTAGTATCGAATCAGCAGTTATAAAATAATTTATTATTTTAAATATGCAACATGAAACTCCACTAGAGAAATAAATTTCTAACAACTTTCGCAAAATGTCTCCTCTCACTGCATCAAGTATTATATATTTACTTCCTAAAGTACATTTTTGCTCTTGGAATATTCAAAGGACATTTGGCAAAAATGTGCTTTCGTATTGCGACGTCATTTGTATTCACAACATGGAATGAAGCCCGCGTTAAAATGAATATAATAAATACTTGGCTGATTATTTAAACAAATCGTGTAATGTGTGCTACTGAAACTATACTAACATAAACAAATTGGTAAATCCAATTGGGTTTGCCTTAAGCGCAGTAAAAAAATTACGTATAACATGATTATACGAAATTTTTTAAAGAAGTTTAAATACATTTCGACAGCACTATCGGCTTCAACACCCTCGAAACCCATGAAAATGACACCCATGATGAAAAAATTGGTACCTACTTCAGCCGCCATTTTGGATTTACATTTCGACAGCACTATCGGCTTCAACACCCTCGAAACCCATGAAAATGACACCCATGATGAAAAAATTGGTACCTACTTCAGCCGCCATTTTGGATTTACATTTCGACAGCACTATCGGCTTCAACACCCTCGAAACCCATGAAAATGACACCCATGATGAAAAAATTGATACCCATCGCAGCCGCCACCTTGGATTTACATTTCGACAGCACTATCGGCTTCAACGCCCGCAAAACCATGGCAATGACATCCATGATGAAAAAATTGATATATATTGCAGCCGCCATCTTGGATTTACATTTCGACAACCCTATCGGCTTCAACTCTCTCGAAAACCATGAAAATGACACCCGTGATTAAAAAATTGATACCCATTGCAGCCGCCATCTTAGATTTACATTTCGACAGCACTATCGGCTTCAACACCCTCAAAAACGATGAAAATGACACCCAAGATGAAAAAATTGATATCTATTGCAGCCACCATCTTCGATTTATATTTCGAAAGCATTATCGGCTTCAACACCCTCGAAAACTATGAAAATTACACCCATGATTAAAAACATTGGTACCTAATTTAGTAGCCATCCTGGATTTACATTTCGAGAGCACTGTCGGATTCAGCACCCTCAAAAACCATGAAAATGACACCCATGATGAAAAAATTTATACCTATTGCAACGGCCACCTGGGATTTACATTTCGACAGCACTATCGGCTTCAACACCCTCGAAACCCATGAAAATGACACCTATGATGAAAAAATTGGTACCTACTTCAGCCGCCATCTTGGATTTACATTTCGACAGCACTATCGGCTTCAACACCCTCGAAACCCATGAAAATGACACCCATGATGAAAAAATTTATGCCCATTGCAGCCGCCACCTTGGATTTATTTACATTTCGACAGCATTATCGGCTTTAACACCCGCAAAAACCATGACAATGACACCCATGGAAACAATTGTACCCAACCCCGTAGGGAGAATTATATTATTATCCAGTTCCAGGAAATCACTATTTCCTATTTTAAACAACAGGTCTGAAAACTTTCCGGCAGTAATATCTCACCTAAGATGGACTCTCATATTTTTGGTAAGGCTCAACAAAATATATCTGTAAGAACTGTGGTTCACTGTGAGGTGACGGAAGCAAGCTTTCCAACCAAATGATACACCTGACCCCGCACTTTGAATGCAAGCATAAAACCATCCTGTATTATCTTTCTAGCTTCAAATGAGGTCATTTCAAAACAACGATTAAAATGCCGTATGCCAGCCATGAAATGATCGTGCTCAGGGTGTAGCTTTTTTATCAAATAGTAAAGAAGGTGTGAAAGCTTTTGCAAAGGTTCGAGCTGAACCTTTCCTGCATCGCAGCACATTCCCACAGATAGATCCTTGTACTGGAGAGTTTTACACCACTTGCATTCGATGTTTATTGGTCCCAAACAAAAGTATTGTCACTATCGTACGCTATGTTACTATCATAACTTAGTCCAGAAAAGGCTTTAGAATTCCAAGGTTTTAGAGGTCTTTCAACTCGCTGTCCTTCTTGATTTCGTTCATATGTTAACTGAGATACTCTGTACACTTCAAGGTGTTTGTGCCGATATTTACTTGCCGCCTGCTTATGTACTTCAGGGTGTTCCCGCTGATATGCATTGACAGCCTGCCTGTGAACTTTAGGGTGTTTTTTTTCTGATAGGTTGATTTCGATTATATTTTTTCTTGCTTCCTTAAGTTGCTATTTTCTGACCACAAATAACTCTAGCCCTGCGTTTTTTCGCCATATTTTTTGTGACTTATTTGTAAAACTAATTTCAATTTGGACTGAATCTTGGGTAGTGAATGTTGAAGATTCTATGCAGTTATTCTTGGATAAATAAGAAATTAAATCTGACTCACATTCAGATTCAATAATAGTAAAAGTAGGAGAATGAACGTCTTGCACAACATTAGAAATTGGTGAAGGTTAAGTGATCTTGGGGAAAACGTAACCTTCTGATGGGTTGGTCTTCTGTGCCAAATTTGGCATACAGATTACCATTTCGATACACTTCAAATACAAATGGGTATATTGAACCGGCTTCAATTAACTCGCAGAAACTGCCATATGTAGAATGTTGTAACATATCTAATGTATAATCTTCTTTTGTCCGATGATTGTTATTATGACGGTCATGAGATATAATAGCAAATTTATCCCAATTGTTCGTCACATGACGCACAATTTCTTTACGAATATACATTGATCGTTCGTGTGATCGACATCCCCCACTATTGGTACATTAGTAAGGTTTATTAATTTACCATTGATATTAACCAACTCTGCTACCATTTTTAAAAATATATACAGTCAAATTTATAGATATGAGAAAATTGCAAAAACAATACACACTAAATTAAATTTCTAAGACAAACTACTACCTACTTAAATATCTATATTAAAACAAAATTAAAACTATATTATTATACACAACTAATCAAACGCAAATATTTTTACATTTAAAATTTAAAACCTATATTATACACTAACAAATCAAATTCAAAAAATCTTATTTAATTATTATGACTAAAAATGAAAAGGAAATTAAATTAACTACACAAAATTTTCTAATAAAATATTGAAAATGAACTTCCAAACAAATTATACAGCAATCGCAAATATTCCCTAATTAGGTAATCTAGAGATTTACAGCGTTTTGAGTTTTAAAACATGTAAGAGATTTTACAAAAATTTACTTCGCAAATATCCATTTATCATCATCATTACAGCCCTTCACAAGTCCACTGCTGAACATAGGCCTCCCCCAAAGAATGCCACAAAGCACGGTCCTGAGCCACCTGCATCCATCGACTTCCTGCATATCTTACCAGGTCGTCACTCCATCTAGTGGGGGGACGCCCTACACTTCGCCTGCCGGTACGAGGCTGCCACTCGAGAACCCTTCTTCCCCATCGGTTGTCGGTTCTTCGAGCTATATGGCCGGCCCATTGCCACTTCAGCTTACTAATCCGTTGGGCTATGTCGGTCACTCTAGTTCTACTGCGGATATCCTCATTTCTGAATTTATCACGCAGAGAAACTCCGAGCATAGCCCTCTCCATAGCTCGCTGAGCGACCTTGAGCTTCCTCATCCGGCCAGCAGTGAAGGACCACGTCTCAGTTCCGTATGTCATCACTGGCAACACGCACTGGGTGTACAGTCTCGTTTTCAAGTTTTGAGGTATACCTGACGAGAAGATGTGCCGTACTTTCCCGAACGCTGCCCAACCGAGTTGAATCCGTCGATTGACCTCTCGGTCGAAGTTGGACTTACCTAGTCGGACTATTTGTCCCAGGTAAACATACTCGTCAACAACTTCGAGCTTAGTGTTCCCAACAACTACCGGCATAGGTGTGACATGGACATTAAACATGATCTTTGTTTTGTCCATGTTCATCTTAAGACCTATCCGTTGGGAAACACTATTGAGGTCATTGAGCATAGTGCTTAGGTCCTCCAGCGATTCTGCCATAAGGACTATATCGTCGGCAAATCGAAGGTGAGTGATGTACTCGCCATTGATGTTGATACCGTATCCTTTCCAGTCCAGAAGCTTGAAAACATCTTCCAATGCAGCGGTAAAGAGTTTCGGGGATATGACGTCACCCTGTCTTACACCTCTCTGCAATTGGATAGGTTTCGTACTCTGGTTCTGTACTCGGATAGCCATCGTAGCCCTACTGTACAAGCACTTCAACACTTCGATATACCGACAGTCAACTTGGCATCGCTGAAGGGACTGCAGCACCGCCCAAATTTCGACGGAATCAAAGGCTTTCTCATAGTCCACATACGCCAGACATAGTGGCAAATTGTACTCCTCGGACTTCTGTACAATTTGCCGAAGGGTATGTATGTGGTCTATGGTGCTAAAGCCTTTTCGGAAACCGGCTTGTTCGGGAGGCTGGAAGTCGTCAAGTCTGCGCGCGAGACGATTCGTAATGACTCTCGAAAACAGCACGTAGACGCGGCTCAGAAGGGAAATCGGTCTGTAGTTCTTCAAGAGAGCGTTGTCGCCTTTCTTGAAGAACAAGACCACCGCACTTCTGCTCCACGCCTCCGGTGTAATGCCACCATGAAGGACGGAATTAAAGAGCTTCTGAAGGACTTCAAGTACCGGTTTTCCACCCGCTTTCAGAAGCTCCGCTGTAATTCCATCCTCGCCTGGGGCCTTGCCGTTTTTAAGGTGCTGGAGAGCCATTCTAATCTCGCTCAGACTGACGTCCGGGATATCATCGGAATAATGTCGGATAAGACTCGCTCTTGGATCGTTACTCACACTTGCGTGCGGCTCCAACGATGACGTGTACAGCTGCCCATAGAACCTCTCAATCTCACTCAAAATCTCAGGTGCCCCGGAAACGATGCTGCCACATTCTGTCTTCAGCTTTGACAGTTGGCGCTTTCTGGCAGACAGATCTCTGGCAAAGACTTTGGAGCCTTGGTTCCGCTCGATCGCTTCTTCAATACGAGCTGTATTGAATTTGCGTAAGTCCCGCCGCATGCATTTGGAGATCTGTCTGTTCAGTTGCCTGTATGCTGTTAAATCTGTTGAAAAATGTTGCTTCATCTCCCGTCTAACAGCCATGAGATTAAGAGTGTGATCGGAGAGTTTTTGTGTTCTTCTGCGGCGGGTCTTGCAGAACTTAGCTCCGACCGCATGGACAGTTTCCACGAGCTTGTCATTCAAATCGTCCACTTCATTGCAGTTTTCTAGGCACTGAAAACGGTTTTGTAACTCGAGCTGAAAGGTTTCGGGACTTTGGATTAGAGCACGAGGGGGACGGAGCGTTGACTTCATTAGACGAGACCTCTCCAACTTAACGTTTAGGTTCAGTGTGCCTCTAACCATTCGGTGATCGCTGCCGGTTTTCACCCTCGCGATCACTGAGACATCACTGAACAGTTGTCGTCTGGTCGTCATAATGAAGTCAATCTCATTTTTTGTCGAACCGTCGGGGCTCGACCAGGTCCACTTCCTGTGGGGCCGCTTCTGGAAGAAAGAGTTCATCATAAAGAGTCCCTCTTTCTCCATGAAGTCGGCCAGCTGCTGGCCCCTTGGGTTCCGTTGCCCTAATATCCATTTATATTTATATGTATATAATATTGTAAAAAGCATTAAAAAAATTTTGTAAAAAAAAAATTTGTAAAAGCTTTTATATAATGGATTTCCGCAAAGTAACGCCTGATTCTATTAATTATATTTAAAACATGTGTCAAAATAAAATTTCATTTAAATCAAACACACTAAGGACTATGGATATTAACTTCAATCACCCCAAAATAAATTTCTACCCCTTTTTAACGAAAAACGAAACATGTGTTCCATCAATTCTGTTAAAGAATGCTTATGCAAAATTTGAAGTAGATTGAACCAAGGAATCACGTTGTCCCCTACGAACATTGCCATTTATATAAATTTTATTTTTATACATGGTATGGATGCAACTTTATTATGTTTGAATGGGACGTCTCGACTGGAGAAAGACCACGCTCTGACAGAATACCAGCGTAAAATAGCAGATTGATGCTGCTATGTTATATATTATGACAAATGTAGAAAACTAGAGATCCATTTTAGGCATTTCATCCTTACTCACGAGTTACAGAATCGTCGTCGTAGAAATAGGCGAGTGATCTCCGTATCCGTGTTGAAGTGACGTTACACAAATTGTCGGTTGGACATCCACACAGGTAGAATAAAGCCGGCTTGACGATGACGTCGGCCGAGATTGCAAAGGGATTCTGCCAGAACCTCATGATGACCCCAGTTAATCTGCTCACTGCAGAAGGTCAAGACCACGCAACATATCGTTTAAGCTTCATCTCTGTGATCGTGCCCTCGAAGCCAAAGTTACGCCTGGTTCATAATGCAGCTTCAACATAGCGTATCTTTGGCTTCAAAAACTCAGATCAGATCACAGTACAGGTGCAGGTGTGACAGCTGGGGTCGCGTACACCGATGTGAAAAGATTTTTGATTCTTCATTCGTACTTCATTTTTAGGTCAGGGTCATAGTCGAGCTTCTTCTCCAGTGTCCTCAGCCTGTATGTATGTATCTTCGTAGTTATTCAGGATGTTAAGGTTATTTCCTTTCCACAGAAGAGCAGTCTTGAAACGGCCATCAGTCATTCTTCGTCTCTTTTGTTGTAGAATTTTCATATCACGCTCCATTGGATAGTTATTATGTTTCCTTGGCTCCACTCCGAGGGCTTCCAAGTCGAAGAACTTCTTCATCATAATATCTTCCATTGAATTGTTCTGCGCTGCGATGATGGTATGCCCACAGAAGGCAAGTGGTTTCTGGTACGAAGAGCGATATCCGTGTTAATACTAACCTAGTCACGTATAAGATGCGATAGGTTGATCTTGTCTTCCTGTTCGTATTGTAAATGCCACCAAAAGTTCCCAATAATCTTGTCCTATTAATATCCTGGGGCAGGCATCCTTGTAAAATAACTAGTCTCCATCTCTCGTAGATGAAGGCTGAAGATCTCTTTTTTCTATATTCTATTTGGTGAACATCAGGTGTTGTACAGTACGCGCATTACTTATAGCGTATTCTTCTTCGCTATATTTCCCTCGTATCTTGATGACGACCCTCTTGCTGTTTTCGTACTTGACCATTTCATTCAGACCTTGTACCCACATATGATCACTTGGGCCATCTAAGTCCAATAATTTTGCCAGTCCTTCGTTAATGAGCGTGAAGGTGCTTCTATCGCCTATCAAAGCGTAGGTGTCCACTCTTATACCGTTGAGACTGGTGAGCATCACAGGCGCAATCTTCGAAAATGCTTGACCGTTCTTGACGCAATCGGTGTTCTTGACTAGTTCAACCACTTGGTAGTCGTACCGTTTGTTTCTTGTTATCGGCGTGAACTTTTCAATGGCGATCTTCACTAACGTGGATTATAAAGGTAGTTAACTTTCTTCAGGGCTTCTATATTAGCTATCTTGTCCGTGAATACGCATAAATCTCACGGAATGTCGCTGAGTTTTCCTAGCGCTTTAATCTTCTGCATTTCATTCATTTCCAGCGCGTCCGGACGTCTAAATCTTTTTTCCAGGACTTCTACGATTGCTCCTGGATCCGGTTGGCTAATAAGGAGGCTGCCGGCTACCGCCATGACTCCCCCCCCTCCCCGACGCTTCTTCTTAATCTTAATACGTTTTCAGTCTTCGAGAATAAAGCTTCAGTTTCATATTAAGAGGTTCGGAATGCAAGCCAGCTGTTCCACTGCCCATTGAATATAGGTAGTTCCTGTAAATACTTCGGGACATCTCTCGTCATTCCGTCAAGTAGTACGCTTGAGTGAGCCGCCGCCAGTGAGTTGATTTCCAAGTACTGTGGGTAACGTGCAGACCGGGATTCTTCATCCATTCCCCAGTGCTTACTATCCTTTTCCTTGTGAGCTTGCGCTTTCAACTCCAATAACCTTCTTCGATGCAAGACAGAATGGCGTGACTTGGCGCGCTTCGATGGCTTGAGTGTGTTGTCAGAACCTTCAATTTGTTGTGTAGTAAGAGCGCTGACGTCATTCTTCGTACTTGTAGTATTTTCTGTAGACGTCGTCTGTTATGTGGTTCAGGTTTCCGTACTCGTAGCAGTTCCTTCCGATGTGGTAGTAGATTCTTCTTTGCTTGTAGGAGTTCTTTCTGAGCTCGTAGTTTTTGTTGTGACCCCAGTACTTCTCAATGTGCTGGCAACACCTACTATTTTACTATTATTCTGATTCGCGAGCCGTAGACGCTGTTCTGACGCATCGACGCTTCTTCATTTTTCTTTTTTTTCGATAACATGAAATCCGTAAAATTGCTTAAAAACCCGCGCTGTTTATTCTTCTTAATTGTCCAGAAAGCGAAGGACCATCCGACGATGTAGATAGATTTCCTAGGGTTTTCCGGACGAATGACAAAAACGCTTGTCATCTTATCAGGGAGGCAGTAGAGCGCATGGCAGAGCAGTTTCCATTTTACTTTGTTTTCCTTTTTCTGGTAAGGCCCGTATGTCGAATGAATCCCCAGCCAATGGGCACAATATTTAGACGTTCTCTAGTGATTTTCTAGAAACTTAACTGCCTCACTTGCCTTTTGCTCTTTGTCTGCTGCCTTCCAGCAAGTCGGGTTGTCTGTCCACAGTTTAGTTGGCAGTATCTTAGTGCGGCTATAGTAGAGTCATCCACATGACTATTCCTTTAATGTATATAAAGGAACAGTCACGTGGTCCATCCCCCACTAGTTGCACAGCAATGTCCGCACGGCCCGCTTCGATTTTGTCGTGCACATTAATAATTTAACCATCTGATAAAATTTTAAGTCGTATATTAATAATGATATTTGCGTCATAATACCTTTTAATACAATTGATCATCTTCAGTATGACCGTGTGTATGAATTTTGTAAGTCTATGCTATTTTTATGCCCTTTCACACTTATTTTAGTCTCGAATTATATAAAAATTAAAAATTTGATTAAATTTAATTAAAAATCCCTTCGTTTCACAATCTTGTAATGAAATCTTCAGAAATCTTGTAATGGCGTGCATTTCTTTCAATATGAACTTAGTCATGTTTCTTTAAAACTAAAAGGTTTGTTTTATTCATAACTAAGAATTGTGCTGATGAATTTTCGTAAGAATTTGGTAGGATAGGTTTTGCTTTTGCAAAATTTCCCATTGATGGTTCTTTATAACTGATCTTGAAATGTAAAAGACCGAAAATCAAATAATTATTGGTGGCTAGTTTTGTTTTAATTCACTGAACATTTTTAATGTATGTTTTAATTTATCTATGTCCTGATGGACATATATAAGTCTATACCCTCAGAATTAACAACCCTACCCCTTTCAACATTAAGGACCGCGTACTTATGCGCCCCCAGGTCCATTCTCATAGAATTGCTAAAATCACAATTAGTGTTTAGCAATTCCATAAGATAGGAGCGATTCATCATCATCATTATCATCATTATAGCCCTTCACAAGTCCACTGCTGAACATAGGCCTCCCTCAAAGAATGCCACAAAGCACGGTCCTGAGCCACCTGCATCCATCGACTTCCTGCATGTCTTACCAGGTCGTCACTCCATCTCGTGGGGGGACGCCCTACACTTCGCCTACCGGTACGAGGCTGCCACTCGAGAACCTTTCTTCCCCATCGGTTGTCGGTTCTTCGAGCTATATGGCCGGCCCACTGCCACTTCAGCTTACTAATCCGTTGGGCTATGTCGGTTATTCTGGTTCTACTGCGGATATCCTCATTCCTAAGTTTATCACGCAGAGAAACTCCGAGAATAGCCCTCTCCATAGCTCGCTAAGCGACCTTGAGCTTCCTCATACGGCCAGCAGTGAAGGATCACGTCTCAGTTCCGTAAGTCATCACTGGCAACACGCACTGGTTGTACAATTTCGTTTTAAGGTTTTGAGGTATGTCTGACGAGAAGATGTGTCGTAGCTTCCCGAACGCTGCCCAGCCGAGTTGAATCCGTCGATTGACCTCTCGGTCGAAGTTGGACTTACCTAGTCGGACTATTTGTCCCAGGTAAACATACTCGTCAACAACTTCGAGCTTAGTGCTCCCAACAACTACCGGCATAGGTGTGACATGGACATTAAACATGATCTTTGTTTTGTCCATGTTCATCTTAAGATCTATCCGTTGGGAAACACTATTGAGGTCATTGAGCATAGTGCTTAGGCCCTCCAGCGATTCTGCCATAAGGACTATATCGTCGGCAAATCGAAGGTGAGTGATGTACTTGCCATTGATGTTGATACCGTATCCTTTCCAGTCCAGAAGCTTGAAAACGTCTTCCAATGCAGCGGTGAAGAGTTTCGGGGATATGACGTCACCCTGTCTTACACCTCTCTGCAATTGGATAGGTTTCGTACTCTGGTTCTGTACTCGGATAGCCATCGTAGCTCTACTGTACAAGCACTTCACCACTTCGATATACCGACAGTCAACTTGGCACCGCTGAAGGGACTGCAGCACCGCCCAAATTTCGACGGATTCAAAGCCTTTCTCATAGTCCACATACGCCAGACATAGTGGCAAATTGTACTCTTCGGACTTCTGTACAATTTGACGAAGGGTAATTAAGTGGTCTATGGTGCTAAAGCCCTTTCGGAAACCGGCTTGTTCGGGAGGCTGTCAAGTCTGCGCGCGAGACGATTCGTAATGACTCTCAAAAACAGCACGTAGACGCGGCTCAGAAGGGAAATCGGTCTGTAGTTCTTCAAGAGAGCGTTGTCACCTTTCTTGAAGAACAAGACCACCGCACTTCTGCTCCACGCCTCCGGTGTAATGCCCCCATGGAGGACGGAATTAAAGAGCTTCTGAAGGACTTCGAGTAACGGTCTTCCACCCGCTTTCAGAAGCTCCGCTGTAATTCCATCCTCGCCTTGGGCCTTACCGTTTTTAAGGTGCTGGAGAGCCATTCTAATCTCGCTCAGACTGACGTCCGGGATATCATCGGAATAGTGTCGGATGAGACTCGCTCTTGGATCGTTAC